CAGGATGGATGCATAAGACAAGTGCTTGGGGCTGGTGCACTGGGGTGACCCAGAGGGATGGGATGTGGAGGGAGGTGGGAGAGGGGTTCAGGATGGGGGACACATGTACACCCATGGCAGATTCAAGTCAATGTATGGCAAAACCAATACAATGTTGTAAAGTAAAATAAATAGATAAATTAATTAAAAAAATTTTTTTTCACTTGAGAATTACTTAGAACTGCCATTTTCAATATGCAAAATCTTATATTTTGCACACAAGTAGTGTTTTGTTTAGGTACTTCCCAGGTGGTTCAGTGGTAAAGAATCTGTCTGTGCATGTAGGAGACACAGGTTTCCTCCCTGAGTCAGGAAGATTCCCTGGAGAAAGAAATGACAGCCTACTCAAGTATTCTTGCCTGGAAAATACCATAGACAAAGGAGCCTAGTGGGCTATGGTCCATGGGGTAGCAAGAATTGGACATGACTTAGTGACTAAACAACAGCAACAACATGCTGTTTAGAGCACTGAAAAGAAGAAAGTGTGCTTCTAGTTATATCATATAGCTTACATAGGGCTGTGCTCCAAAATAGAAATTATTTAAACAGAACAGAATGTTCTTTTTTCCCTGAATAATGCCAAATAAATGTGTTTAGAACAATCTTCCCTTCATACCTCATGTCCTCTCTGGAATATGTCTACAATATTTATGGGGCCATTTCCTATCACTTTTTTGGCAAGAACCCGAGGCTCTGTCTTTCAACCTTGTTTGATCAGTTGTTATATCGATTCCCCACTTTCTATTGAGTCATCATAATGATTAAAATAAATATATGGTAGGTCAGATTGGGAAACCATAATCCCTTCCAGCTGTTAAGAGAAATGAGCTAACTAGAATTCATTTCTCAAAGTGAATTCCACAGAGCATGTGTGTTGAATACTCTGTGGGGGGGAAATCTCAGTGGCTTAATAGGAAATATACAGTTGACTCTTGAACAATACTGGTTGGAAGAGTTTGGGTCCACTTATATGTGGATTTTTTTTTTTTCAAAAAGTAGATACTACAACACTACACAAACCATAGGAAACTATAGAACAGAGGGCCAACTATAATGTTATACACAGATTTTGACTGCACAGGATGTTAGCACCTCTAAATCTTCTGTTGTTCAAGGTCAACTGTATATTTGGGGGGATATTTACTTGCAACTTAACTTATCTAAGGTTATGAGAAGTCTTGCACTTTAAAAGATTGCAATGAGCTTATTTCAGTATTACTTATATTTATTTGAGTACAAATGATACTCTCGGAATATCTGGGAGAAACATTACTCCTCTGTGAAAAATGCTTAGGCTTATATTAAGGTAGACTGGATATCAGCAGTTTGATTATTTTGATTATCATAATGATTGCATTCATCAACTGAATTAAGACTTGGAGGTCGGTATATAGTAAACGAACTAAGTGTTATTCAAGATACAACGAAGAGGATGAGTATAGAGGGTATCCAAGATCTTGATCTGCATGACCAAATCACAACATAGGATATTTCATATAGATACAAGCATAATGAGAAAGGAACTATTCTGCAGTCAGGATGCAGCTGAAGGAAATATGGTTTCTTGTGATATACAGATACAGAGGCATGCTGTTCATTTTGATAGCACTTGATTTGTGACAACCATATGGGGGAAAAAAGAAAAAACTTGCTATAGAGCCCAATGAGATGGCCCCATTTATAGGGCAAAATTCCTTTTTAAAAGGTTAAGAATGAGAAAGAAACTTCTTAGATAGTATATCAGATGGAAAGCCTTTGCTTTGTAGCTAATGGAAACAACTGTCCAGAAAATAAATGCATTACTAAAGATGCTAAGACTTCCTGCATTAGAGAAAGACTTTACGACTTAAGTACATGGAATAAAAGGTGGTTTATTACCGTATAATCCACCGACAAACAAGACTTGTATTATTAGAAGGCTTGGGATAATGGGGAGCCTCGAAGGATCCAGAAGATCCAGTCAACAAAAATCTTCCATCACAAGCTGTGGCTGTGAAAAAGAGGAAATTAATGTCAGACAAAAAATCATCTTGGAAGCATTTCTCAAATGAAATGGGATTCAAATTGGCTAATGAATCTTAATAGAACACTCATGACTAAATCTATAGGAGGCTATTTCACAAAACCAAAATGATCAAATGGAAGTAGATCAAATTTCATGTTTTAAATCTATTACTTATTTTCAGATACTTTTACACAGCCCATCATAGAGTCCATAAAAGTAGAAAAGCATCCTATTTCTAAATACCCATAACTAAGTTGCATTTTAGTTTATTTTTTCACATTTGTAGAAAAAATATATATTTGAATTATAAACATCCAATTTAAACAAATAACTACTGTGTTCTCCATTTTATTTTCCCCATTAAGTTGGAGCTAGAGTGAGTTTCAACTATGTGTACTAAGTGACTTGTCTTCTGAAAATGGTCAGAATATGACCAGGCAAATGAAACATATGGTGCAAGTGGCTTGAAGAGAACTTTCCATTCAATCTACTGCACACAACTTCTAGACTTCTCTTTTGCTCCTTTTATATGATAGATTCACAATCTAGTTCAGTATTTTCATTCGGCATCTCTGGATGTGTTTTTCCTTCCTATGACAACTCACTTTCCTCTTTTAATTCTTGTAGCATGAATATATTTATGTCAAGTCAAAGTGCTAAAGTATCAGAGTGTCAGAATGCTCAGTGCTCAGTTGTGTCCGACTATTTGCAACGCTATGGACTCGAGCCCACCAGGCCCTTCTGCCCATGGAATTCTCCAGGCAAGAATATTGCAATGTGCTGCCATTTCGTATTTCAGGGGAACTTCCCGACCCAGGAATAAAGGGCTTCCTCTGTGGCTCAGCTGGGAAAGAATTAGCCTGCAATGCGGGAGACCTGGGTTCGATCCCTGGGTTGGGAAGATCCACCGGAGAAGGGAAAGGCTAGCCACTCCAGCATGTGGCCTGGAGAAGGCCTGGAGAATTCGATGGACTGTGTAGTCCATGGGTTCACAAAGAGTCAGACACAACTGAGCTACTTTCACTTTCACTTGGGGCTTCCCTGGTGGCTCAGAGGGTAAAGTGTCTGCCTGCAATGCGGGAGACCGGGTTTTGATCCCTGAGTTGGGAAGATACCCTGGAGAAGGAAATGGCAACCCACTCCAGTATTCTTGCCTGGAAAATCACATGGACGTGGAAGCCTGGTAGGCTACAGTCCATGGGGCTGCAAAAAGTCAGACATGGCTGAGCGACCTCACTTCACTTCCTGACCCAAGAATAAAACCCATGTCACTTGCGCCTCCTGCATTGGCAGGCAGACTGTTTAACACTGTACCACCTGGGAAACCATTCTCTTTAATGTCATGCATCACTACTGACCTTAGTTTTCATATGAATCATTTCCAATTAGAGTAAACCTTTTTGAAAACATGAACCAGGAGTCATTAATTAGCAGCTTTTCATTTTATACTTGCTATGTATCATATGTATTAAAAATAAAATTATTTCTCTTAGGTTATTTTCTGTATACTTAGTTCTATTGATATTATATTCTAAAATAAAGACTTCTGAAATGTGTCCTTTATTTCTTGGCATGTTATTAATTCCTCATAGCCAGATGTGTTGATGGAAGGCAGGGAAATAAAGGAAATTTATCAAAATCAGCTTGCTGCTCTTGCAATCTGAGTGCTAGCATAAGCTAATCTCAAATTGATAGATGGAAAAAGCCCATCCTAACATTATACAAAAATGCTGTCAAGTTATAAAATACAAGCTATTATGTGACATGAAATATTTTGCATGAACAAAAGAAAGAAATTGAACAGCACATGGAAATCTAGATAAAAATATTGCATTTTGGTTTATTTTTTACTACTTTGGGCATATATGTTTTAAAGGCATATAAGGTAAAGGCATTAAGAAAAGTAGATACATTTTAAGATTCAAAGTCTGTTAAGAACAATGGCCTAGGAGTTAATTGTATTGGATTATGCATGGGATTGTTGTAGCCTAGTTCCCAGCAGGTGACAAAAGAAAGAAAAAAAAAATNGTTATAAAATACAAGCTATTACGTGACATGAAATATTTTGCATGAACAAAAGAAAGAAATTGAACAGCACATGGAAATCTAGATAAAAATATTGCATTTTGGTTTATTTTTTACTACTTTGGGCATATATGTTTTAAAGGCATATAAGGTAAAGGCATTAAGAAAAGTAGATACATTTTAAGATTCAAAGTCTGTTAAGAACAATGGCCTAGGAGTTAATTGTATTGGATTATGCATGGGATTGTTGTAGCCTAGTTCCCAGCAGGTGACAAAAGAAAGAAAAAAAAAATTATATTATCAAGTGTGAAACATGACCAGTCCAGGTTGGATGCATGAGACAAGTGCTCAGGGCTGGTGCACTGGGATGACCCAGAGGGATGGGATAGGGAAGGAGGTGGGAGGAGGGTACAGGATGGGGAACACATGTAAATCCATGGCTGATTCATGTTAATGTATGGCAAAAACCATTACAATATTGTAAAGTAATTAGCCTCCAACTAATAAAAATAAATAAAAAAAAGAACAAAAAAGAACAGAAAAGATAACAATCTAATATCATAGATTTCAGAAAATAAAAGGGAAAATCTGTAATTTGTTGAGAGAACTGACTCAATTGGTGTGTTATACTTACTGGAGCAAAAAGGACAATTATGGCTAGCTTATGTGATTTGAAAGTAAACAGTGAAAATATGACTTTTTAAGGCAGAACTAAACAATTTCCTAGTTGTAAAAGAACTCCCTTGTTCATTCAAAGCTGTCTATCACAAACCACACCAAATAAATGAGACCGTTAATCCCTTAGCTTCATTGATCATAAAAGTAAGAATAATGTCTGCTTGTATTTTAAATGATATATGGAGCCTTTTAATCACAGTTTGTAAAGAAACATGTGGACTCCAAGATTATTGGCAATGCATGAAAATCCACTACTATTGTAAATAGTTTATATTTAAACTATAATACTCAGGAACTCAGTGAGGAAGAGCAATTAATCCTACCAGCAATAAAATACAGCTGTTAGCATTGGTGGAGTATTTCTTATGTACTAGCCTTCCCTAAGGCCACTATATAAGTATTAATAATGTTCTCTTCACCACAACCTTATGATGTTTTAGGTAGGGAAACAGGTACAGAGGAGTTAAGTAGCTAGCATAAGTTCTCCCAGCTTATAAGCAACGATTCAAAGACAGGCAGTCTTACCTAATATCTAATATTATCTTAATACCACAATATATAAAGCTATCATAATGACATCACTCAAATCTCTTTGAGTTGAAAAGCAGGGGTGTATGTGTGCATGTGTGTGTGTGTGTGTGTGTGTGTGAGAGAGAGAGAGAGAGAGAGAGAGA